CTGTTCTGCATTCACTTTAACTAACATAACATGCCAAATAAAACATAATCACCTCTTTTTTAATTGCACACATATGTAAACTCACACAAGAATATGCCTAGTATTTCTCTTGGCATGATGGTATTGACACTGTTGCAATAGTGGTATCATGTGACTGCTGCTGTCAGCATTGAATTCTCACCACTACATCAGGAGCCAATTCTACAGTATTCAACAAATTGATTGATCTGGTCAAATTTAAGTGTATTTTTCATGTTTCATTTCTATTAGCATGTCATTTTATGTACACATGCTGGTGCTATAAAACAAAACTGTGTAAATGCTCAGAAATGTAAAATATTTGTAGTGAATTCATAGTATAACTGCTTTATTACTATGTTATAAATGTGTAATAACACAACTTTAAATCTCTTTATAGGGACTTGGGCAATAGTGAATGGTATAATTTAAATCATGCAGAATATATTAGTTGGTGAGGCTGAGAGAGGAAGAGCCCAAGTGAGTGAGTTCAAGGAGAGAGAGACCCAAAAAACACAAAGAAAGTGGATAGGGAAGACCCCCTCTCCCAGTCTCTCTCTCTCTCTCTCTCTCTCTCTTTCTGATTCACTTGGAAGTGTGCGTTAGCCCTCATAAAATATTAATGTTGGTTGTGCTCAGAGCCATAATTGCCATCTCAGCCCGTGAATAATTTATGCTGCTGTGCTGTTCACATGGGCTCATTTACTCTTGGTGTGGCTCGCACCATACAGGAATATGGCACAGGCAGCTATGGCCGCTGTTTTGCATTTAGTAACCAAATTAGATAACCTCATGCAAAAGCTTCTCTCATCATGATATCAGCCCTACTGAATTTCAGGAAATGCAAAAACCTGCTTCTTCATCGTCAACCACTCGCAATCCAGTTTAGCCAGGAACTAAACGCCCTGAAATAACTCTGTGCCGTGAGTGTTTAAATTATGCCATTGTGATTCATTTCAACATACTCTCCTTGTCTATTAAATTATACTCATTATAGACACACAAAACTACCAACATTGCACTGTTATGTTTACAAACAGAATTTTGAATTTAGATTAAAACGTTTATGTTTATTGATCAATCGATCATGACAGCTGCAGTCAATTAAATAATTGTGAAATGACTGAGAAGAGCGTATACTAATATAATATAATATAATATAATATAATATAATATAATATAATATAATATAATATAATATTCATTTAATAATATAATATAATATAATATAATATAATATAAAAGAGCGTATACTAATATAATATAATATAATATAATATAATATAATATAATATAATATAATATAATATAATATTCATTTACTAAAGAAAAAAATATGGATTAGATTGATGTTGGTTTTGAGTAAAGGAATTCATGGCTATTAGTTTGCCTTTTTATTCATGCTTTTATTAACATTGCACTATTTAAAAAGTGAAATTTGAATTTAGTTTAAAATAGATGTTTGCATTTATTGATCTACTAATCACAATTAAATGACTGGATTGATAATATGTGACCCTGGACCACAATGTCATGAGGGTCAATTTTTTGAAATTGAGATTTATACATCTTCTGAAAGCTGAATAAATGAGCTTTCCATTGATGTATGGTTTGTTTGGACAATATTTGGCTGAGATACAACTATTTGAAAATCTGGAATCTGAGGGTGCACAAAAATATTGAGAAAATCACCTTTAAATTTATCCAAATGAAGTCCTTAGCAATGCATATTACTAATCAAAAATTAAGTTTTACATATATTTACGGTAGGAAATTTACAAAATATCTTCATGGAACATGATTTTTACATAATATGCTAATGATTTTTGGCATAAAAGAAAAATCGATAATTCTGACCCATACAATGTATTTGTGGCTATTGCTACAAATAAACCCATTCTACTCATGACTGGTTTTGTG